TTTTTTTTTTGTATTGCTATTGATTACAACTAACTGAACATCCTTCACCATCTAAGCTTTTTGAAGAACTTAAGTTTGCTGCTGAAACCCAGAAGGTAGAATCCAAAGTTTTAAAACTAGTGGATAAAAGGGCTTATTTTAATGTAAAGAAAACACCACAACCCTTCTTTTATATAACATTTTATTTACTAACCTAAGGCATGAAGTGTTAGGAGGAATATTTTATAATATGTCAATCATAAAATGTGTCAAGAAGATCATGTACTTCAGTCACCACAAGGTTCATCAAACCAAAAACAATTGGTGTGATTGACTTGCTTTGATGCTTTTCTGATTTTATTTGTGCAAATTGAATAATCTGATACACTTGTTTTCTTGTCACAGACTACATTTGTGTCACTGTGATTTTCTTATACTAATAAACTCTTGTAGATTATAATTTGAGTTTGTTTCATTGCTGCAAATGATGGAAATGGCTTCATTTATTCCAGTAATATTGCCATTTAAACTTTCATGGCTTCTCATTTTGGCCTTTTTTTTTTTTGTCCAAACACCAAATAAAGATAAAGTACCACACAATTTTTGCGCAAAAAGCATCACAAATTAAAAAAAAAAAAAAAGATAAATATATATTTCTACTGCTTTCAGATTATGACTCAGTCACATTCATAATAATCTGCATAAAAATGGATTGACTGAGTTCAGAATCTGTGAAACAGGTGATGCCAAAAACAAATAGGAATCAGAATCCAGACTTTAGCAGGCTGCAGCAGCTGGAGGTTTCAGATTTGTCTGCCTTCACATGTGTGTCATTGGCCTGCTCGTGTATTTAGTCCATGTGTTTTTTCTCGGTCTGTATTCTGCGTTTCTTCCGGTTGATTTCATTTTCCATCCAGTTAATCTTTGGATTTCTATAGTTGGACACAGAACTGAATGTGTACCTGGATTTCTCAGCCTCCCTCCACCTTGTTTCTCTGCCGGCCTCTACATGCTCATCAGGAAGTCTGTGGTTTTTGCCACAGCCTGCCTGCTGTCTGTTCCTCTCTCTGTTGACTTTCTGGCTTGCATTTAGAACACGTGTCCTGCACTGGTTGAGAGAATTA